CAGCAGCCGCCGCCGCAGCAGCTCGCGGGCGGCGGCAGCAGCAGGCACGAGAAGAGCCTGGGGCTGCTCACCACCAAGTTCGTTTCGCTGCTGCAGGAGGCCAAGGACGGCGTCCTGGATCTCAAAGCGGTGAGCTGGGGAGGCGTGGATGGGGGCGGACTTCGGCGCCCTAGGCCCCCGGGAAGCCCAGCCCCTGGCCGAGTGGGTCCGGTGGCGTGTGGCCGACGCGCCCTGCGGGGACCTGGCGACCCGAGAGCCGGAGCCATGTGGCCTGAGCCCGGGACCCGGACACCGGGATGGGGGAGGGACGGGGGACCGGGATGGCCCGGCCTCTCGACAAAGAGCCCAGGACCTCGAGCGCGCCCGCGTGGCTCGGGTCCCGGGACGCCAGGACTCCAGGGCGATCGCGTCCACCTGTGGCAGAGGCTGCGCTGATGCCTGGGCGCTTTGCCCGGGGACAGACAGTCTGAGGATCGAGGCTGCTGTTGAGATTGATGGGTTTAATGCGCGATTCTAGTTGGGATCGTTTTCCATGAAAAAGGAAAAGAAAAGAAGATTTGGTTTGCCACTTCTTCCGGATGAAAGGCCGGGGGGGGAGGGGGGGGCAGTGGCCCTCTTTACACATCCCTCCCGGTTAAAATAATAGTGGTAATAAAAACTCTGGTAAACTTTCTTTCATCGTCTTAACAGTTAAGATTTCTAAAAGCGAAGTTTGCCACCGAGAAGACGAGATTATTTCTGTAACTTCCACCCAAAGAGGTGGAAGCCGCTCTGTAACTCTCCTGTGTAATGAGAACGGATGTTTCGTTCTTTACTACGGTTCACTTTTCAAGCAACATGATCAAAAGCTGTTGTTTATGCAGAATGCCTGAACCGTTCCAGGCCGAAAGATTTCCACAGGGCCGAGAAAGAGATGCGATCACTTGAATTAATATTCAACCGGTGCACCAAGTTTAAGAAAGAACCCAAACTTTAAAAACAAACAAAAAAATGCTAAGCAGTCAGTAATCACTGTAGACCTTTCTCTTTGTCCCCCTAAATGTGGCTTTACAGGGAGGGTTGGTTTCAGCACCCTGGGGAGTGGCCAGGCATAGACTGCTTTACCTGTCCTGGGAGTGTCACTGCCGTCCTCACAGCTGTGCCTAGAGCAGTGGGAGCAGCGCCTGGCAGGAGCTGGTGCGCCAGCGTTTCGTTGGTGCAGGCACCAAGGACTTGCAGAGCCAACTCCAAGCCTTCTGCTAGGGGCCCTCCTGTGTAAGCCGCGCACACGTGTGTGTGTGTGTGTGTGTAGGTGTATCTTTGAATGTCTTTCTTTGAATGTAAGTGCTCACTTCTATTTTACACAAATGAAGCTTGCTGTAGCTTGCATTTTGCATTTGAGGAAGTATAGTTTCTACTATCTTTGTGAAAGGTTATCCCTGAAATTTTTGTGTTTGGGGACTTCTCTTTTCCCCCCCACACTCCCGTTTTTTCTCTCCCTTAAAGTTATATTTGGCACATATAAGGGGACTGGAAACACTTCATAGAGAAATTGAATTAAAATACAAGTTGGATTTTTTTCTTTTAAGTCCATGCACCGTTTTTTCACAATACATTTTCCATGAGACTTTTAAAAACACTTCTTACAGTATTTAAATTGTTGTGGGTTGAAAATGAATTCTGTTGGGGACCAGCAGGTAGCGTAATGGCTATGTCGCTGGACTCTCACGTAGTCGACCGTGGTTCAAGTCGACCTTGGTTCAAGTCCCGGACCCAGTGGCTTAAAACTCACGCCAAGCGCGTGCCCAAGATCCCAAGAGGAGAATGGAGGAGAAGGGACTGCAGCAGCATGGCCATCCCCCTGGGGGGTGATTTCTCACTTTCTATCTCTCTGTCTCTCTCTTTCTTGCAAGCGCACCCACCCTATAGTGAAAACCTCTCCAAAAAAAAAAAAAATGGATTCTGTTAAAGAATTTCACAGAAGCTATGAAGTCCTCAGAGAAAGCCACTGATGTTACAGGTTCCGAACTGCTCTTCAAAATCTAGAAATTCAACAGAAATCTCTGACTTTAGTGTAACAAATCAGGGAAGTTTGAGGTTGGCCAGGTAAAACTGGACTGGGGGGGCTAAATTTTTGAGAGTTTTCACCCTGCCTCACCCAGAATACGGTAGACATTTCTGCATGTTTGACTTTTAAATTCTTTGGCTTCTGGTCCCACATGGTCAGCCACAGTTTGAGTCCTGGACCTGGTGGCTTGAAAATCACGCTGGGCACATGTGCACACATGCCCAAAATCCTAGAACAGATTGTGGCGTGGCCATCCATGCTGGGGAGTGATTTCTCACTCCTCTCACTTTCTCTCTCTCTTCCCCCCATTCCCCGCAAGCTCATGCACCCTATGGCGAAGACCTAAAAAAAAATTATAATAATTTAGCTTCTTCTGGTTTCGACTGAGGCTATATAATTGCTCTACGGAATCACAGTGGCAGGGACTAGTATATTTAATAACAACATTGTTTCATTCATCCTGCAATTTTCCTAAAAGATCCAGGGTTTCTGCAATAATATTATATCTCATTATATTCATTTTATACTCTTTTTAAAATACTTTTTAAAGAATTATTTTATTTAACTTTATTTATTTTAATTTGACCAGAGAGGGATAGAGCACGAGAGAGACAGAAAGCGAGAAAATAGGAACCAGCAGTTAGCGTAATGGCCATCCCTAGACTCCCATGTGGTCGACTGTGGTTCAAGTCCCGGACCTGGTGGCTTAAACTCACGCCGGATACATGTGCGTGCGTGCCCAAGATCCCGAGAGGAAAATGGAGAAGGGATTGTGGTGTGGCCATCACCCCCCAGGGGGTGATTTCTTGCTTTCTGTCTCTCTCTGTCTGTCTCTGTCTTTCTGGTGAGCACACGCACCCTGTAGCAAAAACCTTTCCAAAAAAAAAAAGAAAAAGTGAGAAAACAAGCCACCAGGTCTGGGACTTAAACCATGGTCAGTCATATGGGAGTACAGTGCCCTTAATCACCACGCCACCTGCCATCCTCTAATATTATACTCTTAAAAAACAGCGTGAATATTACTTTTTTATGTATATTTGAAAATATATATGTTTTATGTATTTTGCACACACACATGTATGAGGGTACTTCAAAAAGTTCGTGGAAGAGTAGAATTAAAATATGAATTTATTTTGATGCAAAGAATGTTTGAAATCCATGCTTATAGTTTTTTCATAGTACACATTAGCTACAAAGTTTGGAAGATTCCTTATACACCTATTAGAATGGTGGAAATCCAAAACACCAACAATACAAAATACTGGCAAGGATATGGAGTAACAAAGCCCTCATTCTTTGTAGGGATGCAAAATGGTACAATTACTTTGGAATACAATTTGACAGGTTGTATGTTAAGAAATTTTTTTTTTTTTTGAGAGAGATATTTTTTGCTATAGAGTGTGTGTGCTCGCCAAAGAGACAGAAAGTGAGAAATCACCCCATAGGGGGATGGCCACACCTCAGTCTCTTCTCCATTCTCCTTTCAGGATTTGGGCACTCACAGACATGTGTCCAATGTGAGTTTTAAGCCACCGGGTCTGGGACTCGAACTGCAGTAAACTGCATGGAAGTCTGACGATGTAACCATTATGCCATGGGAAGTTTCTTACAAAACTGAACATACTCTCGGAACCAGCAGTTAGCATAATGGCTTTGTTGCTAGACTCCATGTAGTCGACCATGGTTTGCGTCCCGGACCTGGTGGCTTAAAACCCACGTCAGGCGCATGTGTGTGCATGCCCAAGATCCTGAGAGGAAAGTGGAGGAGAAGGGATTGCAGCGTGGCCATCCCCTCTGGCGGGTCATTTCTCGCTTTCTGTCTCTCTGTCTCTCTCTGTCTGTCTGGTGAGCGCACGCGCCCTGTAGTGAAAATCCTCTAAAAAAAAACCAAAACTGAACATACTTTTACTATATGATCCAGTAATTGTGCTCTTTGGTATTCACCCAACCACTTTGAAAACATGTCCACACAAAACTCTGCACGTGGATATTCATAGAAGCTTTATTAATAATTATGAAAACTTGGAAGCAACCCAGATGACCTTCAGTAGGTGAGTAGATAAACTGTGGTATATCCATACAATGGAGTATTACTCAGTGCTAAGAAGAAATGACCTATTAAGCCCTGAAACAATTTGGAGGAATTTTATATGTATATTACTAAATGAAAGAAAAAAATCTGAAAGAGATAATACTATACTGTATGACTTAATCTATAATCATCTGGAAAAAGAAAAACTATGGAGGCAGTAAAATATGAGTAGTTGTTAGGGGTGAGAGGATGGGGGAATGAATAGACTGAGCACAGAGAATGTTTAGTGCAGTGAAACTATTCTGTATGGCACCAATGTGGATGCCAATGTGGCATGTCGTTATGCATTTATCCAGACCCGCAGAATGCACAGTAGCCAAGTAGAGCCAGTGTAAACTGAATTTGGGGTGATAAGGGTGTGCTGATTTAGGCTCCTTGATTGTATCACATGTACCACCCTGGGCAGGATATTGCTAGTGGGGGAGTTGTTTGTGTGCATTGTCAAGGGATATATGGGAATTTTCTGTACTTTTCACTCAGTTGTACTGTGAATCTAAAACTGTTGTAAAGCGTAGTCTATTAAAAATACATGTATGAAGATAATCTGGATGGACATCTATTCCAGGGTCTGTTATTAAGCATCTGTTAAATGGAAAATGTTTGGCTAAATGGGAAAAAAATTTTTTTTTTCTCAAGAGACAAAAGCCTTCCAACACTGATAAATATATGATAAATATTGACTGGCACTGTGCCAGGTGTTTTCCCTGTGTTAGCTCAATCAGTCCTCATAACAAAACTAAGGAGATAATATAGCTCCATTTTGCTCACTAGGAAATAGAGCCTTAAAGAAGTTCAGTGACTTACCCCAGCGTCCACAGTAAATGAATTATAAGATCTCAAAATTGATACTCTGAACCAGCACGCTAAGCAAAAGGTTTACCTACCTCCAACATTTTGGCATGATTTGAAAACAACTTTATTGGTGCGTGGTGGTGGTGGTGGGGGGAGCATCGTCATATAGCCCAGGCAGCATATTCCAGATCCAAGAGG